CCCCAAAACCCCAAAACCCCAAAACCCCAAAACCCCTAATTTTTGATCCCGAATTGAAAATTTCCGCTTAATAGTGACGTACAATTTACTAATCTGAACTTATTTAAGAATTTTATAAGTACAATTATGTAAAATTAATATGAATCAATATAGACAACTACTAGTTGAGAAAGATGATTACAAGAGTGTAGGGATGAAGCTTTCATGGCATAATCTTACTTACACTGTTAAGACCAAAAGCAGAGTCTATAAGAACTCCAACTCCAAAGAGAAAACCATACTCAAACTTCAAAGTGGCTCCATCAAACCAGGCCACGCCTGCTTCATCATGGGCTCATCTGGTGCTGGTAAAACCACTCTTCTTAACGCTCTCTGTGACCGCCTCACCAACTCGAAGCCTGCTAAGCTTCAGGGGCAAGTCCTTATAAATGACACACACTCTGTTAGACAGAGCAGCTTCGGTAAATATGGAGCATATGTGATGCAAGACGACGTGTTGTTTCCGACACTGACTTGTGAAGAAGTTATTACATTCTCAGCTAGACTCAAGCTCATATTGCCACCACATCAGATCTCTGCCAGAGTGGACACAATCATCGAAGACCTGGGCCTCAACAATTGTAGACACACTTTCATTGGCAATCAGCTAATCAAGGGTTTGAGTGGCGGGGAGCGCAAACGCACAGCCATTGGCATTGAACTGGTGACAGACCCTCAGATTTTGTGACTAGACGAGCCTACTTCAGGCCTAGACAGCTTCACAGCTCATAAGATCATTAAACTGCTGGTAAGCCAGGCAAAGCTAGGCAAGACTGTCGTAGCCACCATTCATCAACCAAGCTCCCAAACATTTGGGCTCTTTGACAAACTTATCCTACTCATGGATGGCCACCAGATATATCAGGGTGCTGCCAGTCAGTCTGTTGAGTACTTCGAATCAATTGGCTTTAGCGTTCCAAGCTATTCAAACCCAGCAGACTACTTTCTACAAAAATTCTACATGCCATTCAACAAGTCAGAGGAGGACGTCCGCACTCTGGAAATCTTAACGGAGGCTTATAAAACCAAGCTCTCAGATAAAGTAAGTTTAAAGCAAAAGTCATTTCCGGCTTCTTAGTTGTTCATTTCAGAAGAATTTTATACCAATCCTAATATTTAGAGCGGAATGATCAAACAAATCAGGGAGAGTGATACCGGTCTCGAAGAAGCCGATATTAATGAGTTCAAAGAATACCATAGTTCTGTCTCATTTTGAACTGAGCTGAGGGAGTTATTAAGAAGAACTGTGAAAAATACTTATAGAAACCCTACTCATCTCAAGCTCCGCTTTGTAGCCTCTGTCATGATCAGTGTTATCGTTTGATTTTTCTTCTGGAATCTTGGTTATGATGCCAAAGGAGTCAATAACAAAATAGGCTTTATGTTCTTCATGAGCGTAGACCAGACCATGCAAGCTTTGTTTTCAGTTGCAATGAACTTTATCGATGAGAGACCTATTTTCTTGAGAGAATATGCCAGTAAGACCTATGGGATCTGGAGTTACTTCCTATCAAAGTCAGTTATTGAGGCGCCTTTCCAACTTTTATTTCCTTTTTTGGCATCTTTGATTGTGTATTTTGCAGCAGGATTGACTCCAGAGTTCGATAAATTAATGATCTTCTCATGTATTTTAGTTTCAGTAGTGTTCTTCGGTACATCTCTGGGCTTCGCAATAGGATGCTCAGTGACAGATCCAATGATGGTCACAACAATGGTCATATTCTTACTTGGCCCTATGCTCTTTTGAGGTGGATATTTTGTAAATCTACACCAGATTCCTGTCTATACAAAATGGATCAGCCATTTATCTCCAATAAGATATTGAGGTGAGGCTTTACTACGCAATGAATTTGTGGACAACCCAAGATATGTTCAAGATCCAACACTTTTCACTAATTTTGGATTTGAGCTAGGGCTTACTAAATGCATCTGCATCCTTCTTGGGCTAGGAGTAGCCTTCCGAGCAATTGGAATCATAATGCTAAGACTTGCTGTTGTAAAGGTTCAATAATTTCTAATAGGCTAGGGGTTTTGGGGTTTTGGGGTTTTGGGGTTTTGGGGTTTTGGGG